CCTAGAGATAGTGCCAAGAACAAGTTGTTCCATCACCTTTCCAGGGATGGAGGTGATGCTGACTGGTCTATAGTTACCTGGGTCCTCCTTCTTGCCCTTCTTGTAGACTGGTGTGACATTTGCTATGCTCCAGTCCTCAGGCACCTCTCCTGTTGCCCATGACTTACCAAAGATGATGAAGCCTAGCAATGACCTCCCCCGTTCCCTCAGCACCTGTCGATGTTTTCCATCCAGACCCATTGATTTATGCATGTCCAGGTTGCTTAACTGATCCCTAACCCAATCCTCATCTACCAAAGCAGACTCCTCCTTTATCCTGACTTCAGCAGTGGGCCTACATTGCCTCTAGTGTTAGTTCTACCTGCAATGTATTTGAAGAAGCCCTTTCTATTGACTTTGACCACCCTAGCAAGGTTTAGTTCCAAGGAGGCCTTAGCTTTCCTAATTGTCTCCCCACATCCTCTGACAACAGTCCTATACTCCTCCCAAGTGGCCAGCCCCTCCTTCCATGATTTATAGATTCTTTTAGATTCTCTACACAAAGAGAAGTTACTCCCAGTACTCTCCTTTATCCAGTATCTATTCAAAATTTCTTATTTTCGGTCACCATGCTCAACCAGCTTCCAGCTCATAATCCCTCCTGGTCTGGGAATTTTTGTACTCCGTCAGGTCACGTGTTTTTGATCCAAGGTTTCTCCTGAAACAACTCCCTGCTCACAGAGGAATCAATGCAATATCCCACTTCTACAGAGGCCTAGACAGGCACTTTGGGCACCCAGCAGATAATCCTTGAAGAATTCAGTTGCTTTCTTCTAGCAAGTGCAATTACGGATGTGCCAAACAGACCATGTTCCTTTCCTCCCCCTGCCCCGCATCGATATTGAAAATATTTTTCAGGAATTCAAGAATATGTTTCCTTGTAATGCATCCATTGAATTTAAAAAATACTTACTCCAACACACAGAAATGAGAGCTACTCAGAAAAACTGCTACCATGTTAGCAGGAGCAATTATGCTTATGGATTTAAAAGAGTGACCTACTTCCTCTCAAGTTTTCTTTAAATTTTGATTTCAGGTAAAAGAACAGTGCATAAAAATATATCTATAAATTAGACAAAAGAAAAATAATCATACTGTACCCTCAGTAGAGGCAGACGCTCATACAAGGACAGAAGGGAGAGGAAACTGGGTGCACTGTGTGTTTCAGGTCCTAGCTTTGCAAGCATTTTACATAGGGTTTTCAAGAAAGGTCTTGCTGAAACATGCTGGCAAGAACACTAAATTAACCTAAGTCTTACCGCAAACACTTTGGTTTTAAATACAGTCTTACAAATCTCCTCCATTTTTTAGGAATTCACATATTTTATTTTTAGGTTGAAAAAATGCACCTCTCTGAGCTAGCTTGGCATCAATAACTTTAGAAGTTTAATTACCTTGACTTCCTTTCGCTTGCTGTCTTCATCTGCTTCGTGTTCCACCACACCTTGAGTCAGATTAGTGTAGTTAGCCAGTTTATTAAGAAGAGATGACACCATGGGATTACTATCCATTTCCTCCTGTTGGGATTTTAAGAATACCAAGTTTATTTATTAGTCTTTTTAAAAAAGTAATCTTTGCTTCTTCAAACACACACTCAACAGGTCAGGCCTGATCAATCAATCAATCAATAAAAATTGGCATGACAAAACACCAGCCAGCTTTCAACCAAAACCAATTCTAAACCTTTGGAGAAGTTTAACACTACATGTCTATCTTGCAATATTTCTTTCACTTTTGTCTCACAATATGCACAGCTTGCATATAATATTCCAGCTTGCACAGCTGGAATATAAAGGAAATCTACAGAAAGACCACTGTTCATTATAAAAAAATCTATTCCTATCACAATACAGATTTTAGGGCATTGTACTGGCAGGCTTTAATCCTTTCAGGGTGTTTTGCCAGCATCTAGCTTGTATTGAGAGAGTGGCCCTACATGTTTCTCAAGCACCAAGGTATTTAAGAATCCCTCTCAAGCTTACTGTTGCAGGCTTACATATTTTATTTTCAACAATGCACACTATTTCTAAGTATTCATTTGTAAAAAAATTCAGGCACATACACATAACACGTAATATTACTTGACACAGAAGTCATCTACCACAAAACAAAAACATGCTAAAACAAAAAAAAAAAATCCAGGAGAAGCCTATACAATAAAAGGATTCCAAGAAAAGCAGAATGAGACAATTCCATCAAGTATGCAGGATCAAATAACAGAAGGAAGGTGAAAGATCAGGATTGCAAGCAGAAAGACAAGAACTAATGCATCTCTGCCTGAGGCATTAGGTCATGATAATAATTGTTTCAACAGCCAAGCTTCTTTGTAACAGTTTATACAAAAATTTAACCACAAGACCACTGAAAACTGGAGAAGAAAAGGATTGCAGGAGACATACTATGAAACATACACTGCACAAAACAATTCACTGGTAAAACAGCTGCGGCGATGAAGTTGCCAAGAATTGTCACAGCATGTCAAAGACAGTCATCATTATACCATCAGGTGAGAATTTTATACCAGCCACTATTCACAGTAACTGATGCAAGCATTATTTATAAAGGAGATTAGGGACAAAAAGCAGCTATGGCAAGTATAATAACACTGAGAAATACAACAGCCAATGTTCTGTGCACAAAGACATTTGAAAGGAAGAGAGGACCGTAAGAGAATGACAAGAAAATAGGGGGTAGAATACAACTGCAAGATGGCTAAACAATCAGTGTTGGAAAGACCTTTTTTATTGTTAACAGCAAGCATCAAAGCAAGATCAGCTGATGCTGCTAGAGCAGAACAACTTAGATTAAACTACTAGAAATAACATTTTATTGCAAAATTGGCACTTAAATGTATATCAGTATATATTGCAACCATTTAGTGAATTATACAGGCACCAAACTTGCATTATAAATTAATGTTTATTTTAAAATTACAAATATCTATGGTACATTCTACACTGTAATTGGACAAAGTAACTAAGTCACAGCCTAACAGTTTGTTTTATAGTTGTGCTGCTTTAAGAGAAGTCTGCATTTCGCCCCTATAACATATTTGCTAATCTTTTAAAAACTGGATACTGCTTTATTAAACCCACTAAATTTAACTTTCAGCAGCTTTCACTAACAATTTATTGATTCTAGCCAAAAAAATTTAAACACAAGAAGGATTATTTCTATCTTCACATCAGTGCAAACCAAAGTGTATTGTTCTTGCCTATACAAATTAATATAGAAGGATAAAAAATCTCTAGACTTTATTATATCATTCAGTTCCACTGAAACGGGATCAAAGTACTGAGAAGTTATGAAAACTGATTTTTTAACCCCACTAAAATTTGAAAGGAAGAAAACATGGGTTTGCTTGTTTTCATTTTACCACCAGAACCTCAACTGAAGGTGAAATATGTTTTTGGGGTATTAAACTTACCTCAAAGAGAGCCATATTCTTTCCTTCATACATATTTCCTCTGTCCATCTCTGCACTGCTAATAAACGGACTGCTTTCCCTGGCAACCCCATCACCTGGTGGAAAAAGACAACAATTAGAAACAATAGTGTGTGTGGGGAAACCACAACAAGGTATATCATAAAATGAAAAGACAAAAAATGCTGGTTTAAGAAGTGGTTCTAGATGATGCTGGAGGTGGCTGCTAAACACTGTCATTGTCCCAGACACACGGACTCGGTATTCACATTTAAGAATTTAAGTTTATTTTAACAGTCTTATCTTTGTATAGCATTCTGCCTCTTAACTACTACTTACTATTCTTTAATACACATACTGACCTTCCCCTCTCTCCTGCCCCATCTTTCTAGTTGACTTAAGTTGACTTAATAGAACTTCAAATAAACCTTCTGGGCACCAGCAGAAAAAAAATCCCTAACCTACTCTTCATTACTTCAGTGAACCCCCCCATAATATTCCAATAGTTGAGGCAGGAATGTATGAAAAAAAAAATAAATCACAAAAATAACTACACAAACAAACAAAAAAACAAGAAAAACCCAAACAAAAAAATAATGTAAAATTCATTATTTTGTAAAGGCTGTGGCGACTCTTCCATAACATGCTATATTCATTCTGTTTCTTATTGAAAGATCAATCTCATTAACCTGTAGTTCCCCTGACCTGCTCTGGCACATCTCACAAGATACAGCATCACTTTCACTGCCTTCCAGCCCACGCAACACAAAAGCTCTTTCATGCCAGCACTGACATAACACTGGTGTTCCCAAGCAGTCATAAGTCCCTGCCCACGCCACTTGGCCTACCTGTGTTTTTGCTCCTGTATTTACAAGTCACAGCAGCAGCACGTACACTCTCTCCACTACAGAATTAAGGAACAACTGGAGAACAAGGTGTACTCTTTTCCTTCTACTCTGCCTTCCCCAGGACACTTTTCCCCACATGAAATCCCAGAACAAAGCTCTTGCAAACATGGACACCAGACTCAGCACAAAGTATCATCTTGGCTGTAATAAAGATTGAAAGCAGGTGAGCAACTACATCCCTGACAAACTGACAGACTTCTTACCATCCTCCATAGCTTTCTTATCCAATAGAATTTCCATAGTATCACTATACTTACTAGCATTGTGACACAGAAGCAGCATGCTATCATAAGAGACAGCTATGGTCCAATAGGGCTCTAGAATTATTTACACAATCTAGAGAAGAGCTGTTGATGAAATAAACCACAACCACTGTTCTTATCCAATGTATCTCCTTCTATCCATATCCTCCAGCTTTCATTTTTCTGTTTCTCTACAGTTTGTAATAGGTACTCCTTTGCTTTAAGTCCAACAACCTGGCTAGGCCCCCCTCCTCCTACAATGCTTAATGCAAGGCTGGCAGAAGGAACACTGTGAACACAAAAGAATCTCCCTCATGGATCAGCACCTCAAGCTGTCTCACAGTGCATGGAGCTTACTAGTTGGGCACAAAACTGTTGAAGAATTTGGCATTTCTCATTTAATTTGCTCCATCGTACTTAGAGAAAGGTTCGGTTAGCTTTTCCATAGGCAAGAAAAAGCAACTGTGTCCCTAACCAAATGTATGCTGATTGCTCTCATCATCTTGTTTAATTGTACAAGCACTAGAACATCTTAGTTAAGATACTGCACTTTCTTCCCAAGATTTTTTGAAAATTATGGTGTTTTTTTTTAGCTCCACTCCTTGAAATTGACTTTCTTGCCTATTGACAAATGGTAGCTATCCTTATTAGCTAAATATTAGTACTACCTTTGGGGTATCTCCAATCTTTTCAGAAAGGATTGTTCTTCAAAAAGTAAGCTGGGGAATTTCAAGTATTGTTGTGTTCATACACAGTGTAATGTCACTGGAGTTACTACTTTAGTGGATATCAAAACATCAGAAGGGTAGCCAAACAAAATATATGCATCAGTATTCACACTGAGGTTAAAGAATATAGGTTTGTCTTACCCATTCTGGAGATAACAATCAGCATCTCAGCACTGAGCATAAAGTATTTTAAATTGTACGTAGGAGAACAGTGAAGTCTTCCTTTATATTGTTGCTTTTCTAAATTAAGTTACTTGGCTTTGCTCCAGTAGGAAAAAGCTCAGAGCACAATGTCTCTAACAAACAAGAGAATGCATCTAAAAGACTTCAAAAGGAAAACCACAGAATTTGTTTCCTGTGCTTCAAATCCTTTTTTCAGTGTTTCTACTAATTTAAAAGTTTGCTAATGCTAGTGTTCAAAATAGCCTGTAACTACCAGACTCCTCTAACTCCTGTAACTACAGACTAAGAAGCCTCCTGTATCCTGTTATCTTCTCATATTTTGAGAATGTTTGGTACAGCATTTTTACAGTATATGACATGATCTGCATTATCTATTTTAGCTCTATCTGAAAGAAGATCAATGCTGAAAAAGTGACCAGAAAAATGTACTGAGAAGTACTCTCTCTCATCTGAAGTTTGTTAACTAGTCCTACAATTATAATAAGCTTTGAACAAGCTTCTTTAAGTTTTCAGCATTGAGGTCAACAAAATCATATGGCCTGTAAATTAAAAAAATACCTCATTTGGGAGTCTGCTTATTTAACAGGCTTGGAAATAAGCAAGCCTTACAAACATGTAACTCAGGTTGAGATGTATTATACCACCCAATATAAATAACTAATTTTAGAACCTTAACACACAGTCAACAACTATGGCAAGGTTAACAAAATAAGTCATTATCCCAATCTCTAGCTCACCTTTTCTTCAAAACAAAGGATTCTTTAGAGAACCAGAACTCAAAAAGACAGGATTTACACTTTTCACAAATGCTGTCATTTTCACGTCTGATACATCAAGCAGAGTCGTGCAAATACAGAAAAAAACATTTCAGTTCCTTCCACTGAGGTAAGAGGAAATATAAAAAGAGGTACTTCTTTCTACTAGTAAGACTCAAGCCATTTACAGCTTTATGTTTTAACCCTATTCCCTTGAATTTTACGAGGAAGCCTAAATATAATAAAATCACAGAAACATTTAGGTTGGAAGAGACTCTTTAGATCAGAGTCCAACCATTAATGTAAAACTGTCAAGTCCACCACTAAACCATGTCCCTGAGCACCATGACTGCACACCTTTTAAATACCTTCAGGGATGGTGACTCAACCATTTTCTAGGTAGCCCTGTTCCAATGCTTGACTAAATCACCATTCCCTCAGGCTTCTTTGGAACTGTGTTAACTGTGTTCTCAGGTGTGGAGGAGAGTTAGGCATACAATAAAAACAGTAACTTCCAATGTAGTTTCAGACATTTCTCTAACCTGCCTATGTCTTCTGGAATCCAATTAAAGCTTCTGCAATTCAAGCACTCCAAAATCTATACTTACTGTTGCTTGATTTCTGAAAATAATTCAAGTTGTGGGTTTGCAGGAAACACATTTTTAATCTGGACTAAATTAGTAGCCCATCTCAGCCGTCTTGAACCTCCATGGGTATAAAAAGATTCATAAGAAAGGCAAAATAAAAGACCACCACCACCTCTGGGCTTGATTATAGCATGTTTCCTCTGTCTTATGACACATATAAAAACAACACCTGTTGGTGTGGACCCCATTCCACCCAACGTAAGGTGATCAAAGGTTAAGTTCTATGAATAAAACTGTTTTCTCCCCCTCAAAGACATACTTTTAAAATTACTATTACTATTTTTAATTTGCTGTGGAATATTCACATACCATAGCAGAGATCTGTGCTTAGTCATAGACCAGCAATAACTAATGCACCTTTCCTAGAAGTCTGTCTGGGATTTTCTGTGTTGACAAGACACGCAAAACCTACTCTTGATTTCTACAGATACTCAAGCACTGTATTTACATGGAAACGAACTGCAATGACTTACATTTTCCTTTCTACATAAGATATAGAGCTGCAAGCAGAGAAGAGACACGTTCAAATTTGGGAAGTAATACTCAGAGTGTTCACACAAATGATTGCAATGTACGTTCGCCCAGACCCCCGGTTGCCGATGCACAGGTTATCACATCCAGTCCTACCATTGTGCCAGCCTCAAGTTTAGAGCTGTCAATGCCATCAGATGAGTTTTCATTAACATTTCCACACACCAAACAAAACCTACATCAGAGAGATGCCGGCATATCACACGTGTTGGTCATAGAGGCAAAAGACAGCACTCACAGAATTCACATTCTGCTGAAATTTCAGAGCAGTGATCTTTAAAAACTCTGGCAGGTAGAATACTTTAAGGCATGTTAACAGTTACAAATTTCTAAGCTGATCCAAACTAGTCAATTTTTAAAACGGACTATTTCAAGACAGAACTCATCTGTACATCTTAAGCAGACAGAAGCCACCTCTGACACCGAAGAACGGCCCTCTCATTCCTCTCTCACACTTACGACTCACCCATTCACGTCCCTGTATTTAAAATAAAAATGCAGCAGTGATGCATGCTTAATACTGAGTTGGGAGTGCATTGTTTTGCTTTTGTTTTTATTCTTGCTGCTGCATTCCCTCAGGCTTCTTTGGAACTGTGTTAACTGTGTTCTCAGGTGTGGAGGAGAGTTAGGCATACAATAAAAACAGTAACTTCCAATGTAGTTTCAGACATTTCTCTAACCTGCCTATGTCTTCTGGAATCCAATTAAAGCTTCTGCAATTCAAGCACTCCAAAATCTATACTTACTGTTGCTTGATTTCTGAAAATAATTCAAGTTGTGGGTTTGCAGGAAACACATTTTTAATCTGGACTAAATTAGTAGCCCATCTCAGCCGTCTTGAACCTCCATGGGTATAAAAAGATTCATAAGAAAGGCAAAATAAAAGACCACCACCACCTCTGGGCTTGATTATAGCATGTTTCCTCTGTCTTATGACACATATAAAAACAACACCTGTTGGTGTGGACCCCATTCCACCCAACGTAAGGTGATCAAAGGTTAAGTTCTATGAATAAAACTGTTTTCTCCCCCTCAAAGACATACTTTTAAAATTACTATTACTATTTTTAATTTGCTGTGGAATATTCACATACCATAGCA